AGTTTGTAGGTATCGGCATTACATAAATGATTTAGGATCGCAGAACGTTCTGAATCATTCTCCGTCCCTATCGCTACTTTGACTTTTGTTCTCAAAACTGGCGTTTCTCCAAACTCAGTTAAAGTGGGGGCTTCTGTAGACACCCATTTGTGTCTGCCCAAAACCAAACCCGTTGATGAGTACCTTTCACGTCTTTGAGATCGTAGGAATCATTTTTCACTATAAGAATCGAATAGAGGCCAATACGGGCGAATGTGACTCCATGACTCACTTCGTACCATCATCCCCGATCCTCCTTTCGTGGTTCCGAACCATATGGAGTTAGTAATCTCATGGATTATGAATGGGGTGTAACCTTCACGGGTCAATCGTTGTTGCCTATCGTTGTCCCTTCACTAGTAGAAAAATAGCATTAGGCATCCCCCATATGGCACTGGTTGAGGCAAAAACCGGTGCCAAAAATCGGCCCAAAATTGGGCGGGTTTTTAAACAAAGGAATAAGGCAGCGGTTCAACCCAAACCGGTGCCAATCAAACGCGGCCTTAGCTTCCTACTTCTTTCTTCTCCTTCCTCTCTTTCTCTTTCATTCCTTTCTAACCCGACATTAGAGACGAATAGAAGAACAACGAACCTCCCCCTTTTCCCTCCACCACAACCGCCCCCTTCACCGGCCACCAGCCTCCAGCCACAAGCATTGTTTGAATTGAAACACCGCATTTAATTCTCGCCTGCCCTTGTACGAATTGTTGAATTGAAACACCGCCCTTGTACGAGTTGAAACACCACCAGCATTGTATGAATTGTCGAAAACCACCGCCTTTAATTCTCCCCTACCCTTGTCTTTTCCCTTCCCTGCCCTTCTCTATCTTTCACTGGCCTCCAACCACCAGCATTATTCAAATTGAGCAGCAGCGCACCGCCTCCACCTCTGCGTTGTTCCCTCCACCATCGCACATCTCCTCCACCTCCGCGCTGCCTCTACTAGTGCGCACCACCGCTGCTACCTCCACCAGCGCGAGGGTCGTCCTCAATCTCTCATCCCCTTAGCTTCTTCCACCTCCAACTAATTTAGGGTAAGTTTTTATTTTTTTGTTAAAAGTTGAACAATTATTTTGAAATATGTAATTCTATTATTTTCAATAGCATTTTGAACAATTATTGTTAAGAAAATTAAAGTTAAGGAATGTATATATATAATTTTACCCTTATTTTTTTTAATTATTTCATTGGTTGTTTATTTAGAAATTTTGAATACATATTATACATTAGAGTAATTTTGTATGTTTAGAGTAATTTTGAATACATATTATAGATTAGAGTAATTTTGCATTACCTTGCATTACTTCGTGCAGCAATTTGGGTTCCTTGTTACGCCAGTTAGCCCCTCTAAGCAAATTGACATGATTTAGTAATCGGTTCGATTACAGTTACATTAAGTGATCGACCTCGTAAATGATCGTCTTACTTAGCTTAAAGTGCCTAAACATTGGCTCATAATAGAGGCACCGACATAATGGTTCATAAACATCAGAGGCACGGACATAATGGTTCACAAGCAGCAAAAGCGCCGACGTACTGACTAGCGGAAACAAATTTCAAGCGAGATTTAATGGTCAACAAGCGTTGGTCTTCGGTAATTTTCTTCGGGATATCATCGCAACAAATGAGGATAAATTCAAGCGAAGGTATCTTCGACATCGTTCCCTAGCTTGTGGAGGGTTGTCACAAACAACTGGAGCTGATTTCATGCGAAGTTATCTTTGATCGTGTTCCTTGGCTTGCGGAAGAAGGTCACAAGGCAGTAGAAGATCGTTTTAAGCGAAGCAGTATTCTATAGTATTCTCTTTCTTGCAAAAGACTATCACAACGGAAATTTGAGGCAGTTACTAGTGTAGTAGTCTTCAGGCGGTATCCCCTAGCTTGAGGAAGCTTGACACAATAACTGGGTTACCTTCAGAAACGTGTGCTCGACGGTGCAAGATACGCGTTTCTTAACTTGTTTATCTATTTAACTAACACTAGTTTGCTGGTATCGACGTTACAAGAATGATTTAAGATCGCAGAACGTTATGAATCATTCTCCGTCCCTATTGATACTTTGACTTTTGTTTTCAAAACTTGCGTTTCTCCAAACTCAGTCAAAGTGGGGGCTTCTGTAGACACCCATTTGTGTCTCCCCAAAACTAAACCCAGTGATGAATACCTTTCGCGTCAAATCATAATCGAATGAAGTGAAAGTGTGAAAAGTCTAATGTTGTGGTTAGTTTTTATTAAAAACCTCTCTTTCTGTTTTTGAAAACCTACTCTATTTTATGAAAATAGCCCATCCAGTTTTTTTTGGTCCATAACAAAGGTCCAATAATGGTGTAGCTGGATTATGCTCGAAAAGAGCTTTCCAATGATAAATTATAAGCCCAATTTCGATGAATAATGAGGAAGTTATGGTTAAAATACTAAATTGGGCCCAGTTTGGTTTTTATATGCGACCTAATGATCTAGAGGAGGGGCTATTATGAATTATCATTCCTTATGCAATTAGGATTGATTATAGTCATCTAGAAGGTTATTTTAAATCTAATAAGATTAGGATTGATAATTATGTTTTATGAGTTTTATTTCGAATTAAAGTGTTTTAAATGAATTTAAGATTTTACCCTTCGTACGGACTTTACAACTTGATTTTATCAAAAAGTAGATTCCGCGTTGAAAACGCGTGGAAAACATTATGCAGGTTTGTCGCCTGGCGACAAACCCTGTCGATTGGCGACAAAATTGTCGCCTGGCAACAAGCCTTGTAATTGGCGACAGAGTCGTATTTTATTCATTTTAAAACTCTTATTCTTTTTATCGACTCCGGAATATTTTCTTAAAAATAGGGTCCCTGGACCTCCGTTTTTCAATAGCAAAATTCTCTAATTCTCTTCTCTTTCTCTAATAGGTAAAGCTTATTCTCTCTCCCTCTTTCTAGCCTAGCCCTTTTACAAATACCATTCCTCATACATTAGCACTAGACACACCTAGCCAAGTTCGAAGTTGCCTTCGCCTTAGACGTGAAAGGTTTGATATTTTTGAGGGTTTGGTCCTAAATCTCTATTTCAATTATTTAATTTAATTGTTTGATTTTATAATTTTCCTTGAAGTTACTAACGCGTGTATTTTGTTATTATAAAGAGATACGAGGCATCCAAGTAAGTGCTTTAATTGTTTTATTGATATTTTGATATAGAAATCATGTTTAGGTTGTTATTTTGATTCCTAGTATCATGTTAGGATGCTTTTTCTATTTTCTTTCCTAATATCATGTTAGTATCATGTTAGGGCTAAAGCTTTGATCTTTAATATTTAGTGACATGCTAGGGTTTGTTATTATTAATCTTGTTAGTATCATGCATAGGATCTTGATATTATTATGCTTTATCATGATTATAATTATTGTTGTGATGATTATTATGATTATTATTATGTTTCTTGATGATTATATTTATTGTTATTGCTTGATCACGCCTTTAATGCATGTTTAAAGGGAATTTGTACTTGTAATCACGCTTAATAAGATAATTAATAATCTTGTTTTAGGCTAATATTATTATAATTCTAGTGATCGCCAATAATAGATTTATTTGTGCATTAATATTCAACAAACATAGATTAAACAGGTTTAGGGTAATCCTAATGATTACATGTTAGTCAGAAAGCGCACAGGAATATAAGTAGAATAAAGTAGAGGCCTATTATTAGGACGAATTCTTTCTCTTTAAGATTAGATTTGTACCCTCATCCTCGAACTTCCAGTGAACAGTTTACAAGTTCCTAAAACTTGTTGGCGACTCTTTTGCTCTAGCTTCCTCCCCTTTGGATTGTTAATGGGTGTAACCTTCATCCCGTGAACAGTTTACAAGTTCCTAAAACTTGTTGGCGACTCTTTTGCTCTAGCTTCCTCCCCTTTGGACGCCACCATGATTAAGTGTATGGTTAAAGTGGGGATCATCTTTGGGGTAATGCTTGAAATATTCCTTACTGGTAGAATCGAAACTTGTCAAATGCGAACACCACCGCTAACATTTCCTTTTTTCTGTTGTAGTGTAGTTCCTGTAAGCCTCATCTTCTTTCTTTCTTTTGCCCAAGCACGGCACCTACTGCAAAGTCACTATAATCGCACATTAGCTCAAAAAGCAAGCTCAAATCCGGAGCTTGCATAACGGGAGAGGAAATGAGAGCTTACGAAATGCCTTAAGGTACGCCTCATTGAAGCTAAAAACAATGTCCTTCTTGAGTAATTCGATCAAAGGTTTGGCAATTGATGAAAAATCATTAATAAATCTTTGGTAAAAACTAGCATTCATTGAAGTAAAACTTTAATAAATCGTTAATATCACGGGAGTAATTCGAAGGAAAGCTCTTACTCCCGTGAGATAAGTAGGAGAGAGCAACTATGCAATCATCAGAACTTTGGCCAGATCAACTTCAATGCCATTCTTAGAAACATTATGGCCAAGGACAATACCCTCCTTTACCATAAAGTGGCATTTTTCCCAATTCAAGACCAAATTCATCTCATGACACCTTTTCAAAACTTTTTCAAGATTATAAAGATAAGTGTCAAAAGACGAGTCACCAACATTAAAATCATCCATGAATAGTTCAATATATTTTTCTAGCATCTTTGAAAAAATAGAATTCATGCATCGTTGGAATGTTGAAGTAGCATTGCATAACCAGAATGACTTTCTTCGGAATGCAAATGTTCCATATAGACATGTGAAAGTAGTTTTCTCTTGGTCACTTGGATGGATATAGATTTGGTAAAATCCGGAGTACCCATCCAACAAACTAAAGAAAGCATGGTGAGAATGTCTTTCCAACATTTGGTCCATGAATAGGAGAGGAAAATGATCCTTCTTAGTATTTTTTTTCAATCTTCTATAATCAATACAAATCCTCCACCCGGTCACCGTCTAGGTTGAGATTTCCTCACCTCCTTCATTTTTGATGATTGTAATTCAACCCTTTTTTGGAACTACGTGAACCGGGCTAACCCATTTGCTATATATAAGAGATAGCATAGGTGATGCCCACTTCATATCCATCACTACAAAATCACGTGGCACATTGATATGCCCAACTTCAATAGGAACATCTTCAAGTTCACCATAAGGGAGTTTGACCGAGCGGTCATCTAGTTGAATTGTTTTTCTTGTGGGAATCATTTCAATATTGATATTTTTTGCAATGGAGAGGGGAATTAAGATAACACTCGCTCTTAAATCCGCTGAGGCACTCCTAGGTTCCATGTTACCGATCTTAACATGTAAAATAAAGCTTCCCGGGTCCTTCTCTTTCTTTAGAATCTTGTGTTGAATAAGTGCACTAACTTTATGAGGGAGGGTAATGAGCTCGTCATTGAGCTTCCTCTTGTTTGTTAAGATGTCCTTGAGAAATTTAAAGTAGGAAGGCATTTGGATAACTACCTCGATGAAAGGGAGACTTAAGTGTAAGTATTTCATTACACTAAGGAATTTAGCGAATTTATCATTCAACTTTCTCTCCACAAGCCTCCCGGGGGAAGGAACTAGCCCATCTAGATTCTTAGTCTCACTAGAACTTGAGGTTGTTTTCTCATCAGTGTGCTTCTTCTTCTCCACATTCTCTTTTTTCCCAACTCCTTTGTCTTCTTCAACTCTCTTCTCCACCATCACACTTTCTCCGTCCCCCTCTTTAGGCCCTTCATAGGATGTGCCCGATCTCAATGTAATTGCCTTGCAAGAATTGGGTTTTAAGTTGTGAGAGGGGTTAGGTTGTGGTTGCCAGGGTAAGGTAAAAGGTGAGTTGAAAGGTACTCTCTTGGCTAATTGGGCTAATTGTTAATCAACCATCTTGTTATGAGCTTTGACCTCTTGCATGTGTTCATTCATGGCTTGGAGTTGTTGGAGAATTTGTGTTTGTGTGGAATCGGATTGAGACGCTTGATCTTGACTCCTTTGAGACCCTTGATTTTGATTGTTGTATTGGGTTTGGTTGTTGTATTGGTTGTTGTATTGGTTGTTTTTTTGGTAGTTACCCCTTGGGCTTTGGTTTTGAGGTGGAGGTGGAGGTGGGTTTTGATATTGAGGGTTGGAATTGTATAATGGTTGAGATTGTTGCCCCCGTTGTTAAGGTTGAGGTGCAAATCTGGTTGGTTGTTGTCTCGAAGCTACTCCTCCACCACTTCCCAAAAATCCATCTTGCCTTGTGTTGTAAGTTGTAACATGTTCAGGGCATAAGCCTCCACAATCAGATGTATCATGGTTTGAACCACCACAATTGTGACATGAGAAAGAATTGATTTGAGAGGAGCTTGTCACACTACTAACACTTGTATTCAACTTTGCAAGCCCCTTGGACAAAAGCTCAATTTGAGGTTGCAATTGATAAACCTTCTCAAATTCATACATCCCACTTTTCTATGGTGCATCCTCCTTCTACCACCCCAAGTGTAGTTCTTCACCACTTCTTTGATTGTTGCCTTAACTTGGTTTTGGGTGATTTTAATCAATTGTCCACCCGCCCCTGCATCAAAGTTAGCTCTAGACATAGGTTCCAATCCGTCATAGAAGAATCGCATAAGAAAGATTTGATTGTCTTCATGATGAGGACATGCTTGTACCAACTACTTGAACCTTTTCCAAGCTTCACTAAAACTGTCATTCGTTTCTTGTTCAAATGATGCAATCTTCATCCTTATATCGACGTTCTTTTCCTCGGAAATGAATCTCTTCTAGAATGCCTTTACTATCTCTCTCCACTTGTTAGCTTTACCCGAAAGAGATTGTCGAAATAGGTGCATTCGGATGTACTCTTGCAAAACTTGATTGTTTTGAAACATGGGACATAGCTCAAGGAATCTATCAAGGTGCTCAATGGGATCTTCACTTGGAGAATCCGAAAATTGATCCCCTTGTACCATCCTTGTGTATTGGTGTTGAATGGTAAAGTTGCTTTCCATGACGGGAAGCAAAATCCCTCCTGTAAGCTCGTAATCCTCTTGATTTCAAACTCACAAAACAAAACTTTATGCTCTTCTCCCGCCATTGCCTCACTTTGAGCACTTAAAGAAAAGCAGTCACTGCCGCTATCCACAATAGTACCAAGACCTCTTCCCTCTTTTTGATAAAGCCTATGGACATGTCTAAATTTAGGTCGATCTCGTGGTTAATGTTATGTGTCGGCGGAACTTGAGATCTCCTAAGCATCCACCAAAGCTAAGAGAACAACTAGAAATGACAAGTAGGATAAAATAAGAAAACAAAAAGAAAATGTAATAATAAAATAGCAAAAATACATGCAAAAGAAGCCGCTTCCCCGGCAATGGCGCCAGAATTTGATCACGGTAGAGTAGGTCGTTAGGACTGCTAACCTAATAAAATTATTTATTTATAAACATAGACCTTCACTAAACTAGTTAGCGGTAAGTATAGGGTCGAACCACGAGGAAGCACACAAGTTAAACATCAAATCCACTAATGCAAGAGTAGAAGGGTGAATATTTTTGTTGGTTTTATTTGATTAAGTAAACTAAAGCAATAAAGAAAGAAAGTTAAAAAGGATTAAACCAAAGATAAACAATCTTAGGGGTACGGGGGTATCAAACATGATCAAACAAAGATGGACAACAATGATTATCATGAAGAACACATAGAAAACTCAGTTCTACTCAAATAACTCACTTTCATGCAATTGCTTAAGCAAAACAATGAATTAAGTCTTGTCCTAATTGAGATCACTTTCATGCATCCAATTAGTAACTAGTCATGGCAAGACATGAAGAGTGCACAATACATAAAACTCTAATTAAATAATTCATTTTCATGCAATCATTTAAGTAAAGGTGATCTTAATCTAATTCAAATCATTCTCATGCATTTAAATTAGGGAACATCAAATAATGTTCTACTAATAATCTCAAGCTATCAAATATCATATCTTTCATCAATTTATGGCATGAGTTCAATCAAATCATCACCAATAATCAATATTAACACATGTTTTCCACCCCTTTTCCCTAGCTTAAAACTTAGCCTAGGTTTGAGAAACTAACCATCATAACAAAACTAAACAAGGATTTAATAAGCACAAAACTAAACATGATTGACAACAAATAAAGACAATACCAACAAGATCAACTAAAGAGATAGATGAAAATAAGCAATAACAAAGCAAATAAATAAAACTAAAAGAAAGGATAAGAGATTACTAAAGAGGAACTTGATAAAGATTGAAGCTTGAAACTTTTCCATTCAATTGTTTAATACAATGAAGAAACTTGGAGAATAAGCTACATTCTCTCACTAGGTTAGGGTTAAAATCTGAATAATCCTCTCATTACATCCAAAAGGGTACTCATACCTCCTCATTCCGCTAAATTAAGTCTTGAAAAAGAAATAAAAAAGCATGGAATACCCAGTAGAGCGACCGTTCCATCTGGGGGGGAGCGGGCGTTCTAGTGGGTAAAAACATAATCAATGACCCAGGGGAGAGGGCCTTCCTACAAGGGTGAGCGGGCGCTCCTATAGGGGTATGCAGCCGCTCTTGCAATCTTATCTGAATCTTCAAAATCTCTTCATGCTTTACTCTTTACCTCTTCCTAAGCATTCCAAAGTATAAACGAGGCCTCGGGAAAGGTAATGCACAGCTTCCATTCAACCTACTCAAACACTCATACACAAAATAAGAAAAGTAGCGGAGGAAAGAGATAAAGAACGAAGAAAAAGGGGGGAAACACTAGAAAAGACAAAGCATCACAAAAACGAATATAAAGTGGTTTGAAAAGGCTCAAATAAGTGCAAATGAATGGAGAACTCTTAGTGAAAAAGGATAAAAGAGTGGCATAAATGCCACTCATCACACTACTATAAAAATTGGATTAAAGATCGCAAAATATAAGACGGTTAACAAAGACAAGCGTTCTATGCAACAATATAGAACGTATTTGTGTAGGACGCGTTTTGTGAGTTAATAAATATAGAACGAAGAAGATATTTAACCATTCTCTATTATTTATTACTTCAATATAAGAAAAAAAAAATCAAATAATTAACGGTAAAAAGTGGTTTGAAAAGGCTCAAATAAGTGCAGTTGTTTAGTATGTAACGTTTTTTTTTTAATTTTTATTTTCCAAAGAATATTACTACTATGGAGTATAATTTACCCTCAAATTTCCTAAAAAATTTAAATAATTTACCCTCAAAAAAATCAAATACCCTGAATGAAATTGTTAGATTTTTAATTTCGCAAGCTAAGTCTACTTTGATTATCGCTCCACCGCTGCACCCACTAGACCATTGTCGCACACACACGTTCACTACTATCGGCTGTAGACATCTACTTTTTTCCTCCTGTCCCGAAAAGTAGTGCAATGACGATAAAATAAACCATCTTCATGTTGGATTAACATGAAGAACACTTATGGATAACTTATTGAATTACAAGACATAAAAATAAGCTAGCCTAACCCAAAAACAAAAGCATTAAGGTCCTATCAACTAAGCTCGATCATAATTAGGCTTAAGCCCGAGCTTAAACCCTAATAATGATAGATTTAGAGGCGCCTAAGTTAAAATGAATGTTAATGCAGATAAATCTGCCCACATCTCAATGGGTCACACTTGTCTAGTGGGCGCAACTCACAAGGTTGCGCGCAACACGCAGCACAACTGCTAGTGATGCGCTTGCGAAAGATTCAGAATTTCATAAAAATATGAAATCGAATCTAACCATAATACCACGCGCAAGACAATCAGTTCGGCTGCCTATAGCAGGGCTACCAACCCACTTGCGCAGGGCTGTCACACGTAACCCATTTAGATGCGCGCGACACCTGTTGCGGCAGGATGTTTAAAACCCTAATCTTACCCATTCCGTATAAATAAGGGCTTAATTCGAGGCTTAAACAGACATAAACTAACCTTAAATGCTGGCAAATACTTTGTGAACTTGTATGCAACCAAACCCTTTTGTCCTAAACACTCACCCCCTTTAAAACTTGTTACTACGATGGAGGTTCCCAAACAAGGAGTCCATACGTGTTCAAAACGAAGATCTAGCAAAGAGAAGTGGTAAATTCCCGAGCACTTAGATCAATCACCTTTATTTTATTGTTTAAAACAACTTTAATTAATTAATTAGTGTTGTTGGTCACTTTAAACGGATTTCTAATTAATGAATTTCACATAGTATCTTGCGTTAAATAAGAATAGAATTGAATAGTTAATTGTTGATTGACAACTTAAGCCAAGGCAAATCTTGTTAATTTTGTTTTTTTTTAGGAATTTGAATTAAAAAAAGAGTAACAACTTTACAATGTAATTCCGACGTGATTTATGCGTGTAAATAAAATCAACTAACTTAGTTTTAGGTATCGCGTTGCATATATTTTTTCGTGATGAAATTGTGAAAAATGACAAGCTAGTAGAGGCCGTAACTAGGGCTAGAATAGCGATTCCTCCCAAAAAGGAACATTATTTTAGTATCCTCGCTCCCAAACTCATTTCTGGTACATGTAGACCAATTTGGGCATGGTTAAACTTACGATTCGTGCTAGTTATCTCTTGAACTCTACTTGGGAGAAAGGCAAGAACGAGGTTTATGTGTTTTCTTAAAACTCATTGGCAACTCCTACTTGTTTCTTATGAAAAAGCGTGATGAGATGATCATTTCT